TGCGCAGGAGTGCCGTTTCACGCCCCACAACCCTCCCTGTACCTGGTCACGGACACTTCATCTCTAGGTTGGGGCGCTCACCTCGGGGAGCACCATACACAGGGCCTGTGGACCACATCCCAACTAGCTCTGCACATCAATGTTCGAGAGCTGATGGCGGTGCACCTAGCCTGTCAGGCATTTCTCGGTCTCCTACATGGCTGTTGCGTGTCAGTCCTTACAGACAACACCACGGCCATGTTCTACATCAACAAGCAAGGAGAAGCCCGGTCATCTCTCCTATGCCAAGAGGCCATTCACCTGTGGGAGTTCTGCACTGCCCACTTGATACATCTCATGGCATCGTTCCTCCCTGGAGTCCATAATGCTCTAGCGGACCGTCTCAGCAGATCCTTCCAGACGCACGAGTGGTCGATTCGCCCGGATATCATCCATTCCATCTTCCAGAGGTGGGGATTTCCCTAGGTCGACCTGTTCGCCTCACGCGCCAACAGGAAGTGCCACGTGTTCTGCTCCCTCCAAGGGCGATCTCCGGGCTCCCTGTCGGACGCTTTCCTGCTATCGTGGAAAGACCAGCTGTTCTACGCTTTCCCTCCATTTCCACTGGTCCACAGGGTACTGCTCAAGCTACGCAGAGACAAGGCACGTATGATTCTAGTCGCTCTGGCTTGGCCAAGAGAGCTCTGGTACACCACGCTTCTGGAGCTATCGGTACAGACTCCGATCACGCTTCCATTGTGCTAGAACTTGATCTCTCAGGACCACGGCTGACTCTGTCACCCTGACCTGCAATCGCTCCACCTTACAGCGTGGATGCTCCATGGCTGAATCGGACAGAGCTCACATCCTGTGCAACAGATTCTGCTGGGAAGTAGGAAACCCTCTACACGGAGCACTTACTTGGCCAAGTGGAAGCGTTTCTCCTGTTGGTGCGAGCAGTGGGTCACGCCCCCCTTGCAGGAGTCAATTCCGCTTATACTTGAATATCTCCTATCCCTAAAACAGCAGGGCTTGGCGATATCTTTGGTCAGGGTTCACCTGGCTGCTATATCGGCGTTCCACCCGGGAGAACACGCTTCCTCGGTCTTCTCTAACCCTATGGTCGTCAGATTCCTCAAGGGCTTAGACCATCTATACCCACAGCAACGTCAACCGGTTCAGGTGTGGGATCTTAACCTGGTTCTCTCCAAGCTCACAGGGCCCCGTTTGAGCCATTGGCTACCTGCTCACTCCTTTACCTATCTTGGAAGACAGCCTTCCTTGTAGCCATCACTTCAGCAAGGCGTGTTTCTGAAATCAGGGCGCTCACGTCTGAGCCTCCATACACAGTCTTCCATAAAGACAAGGTGCAGCTTTGCCCCCACCCTGCCTTTCTTCCCAAGGTGGTATCAGCTTTTCATGTGAACCAGGATATATTTCTCCTGGACTTCCATCCTAAGCCGCACGCCACACGTCAAGACCAGCGTATGCACTCCTTGAACGTACACAGGGCCCTTGCTTTCTATACTGAGCGTACAAAGCCATTTAGGAAGACGACGCAACTCTTCGTTGCAGTGGCTGACTGGATGAAAGTCTTACCGGTCTCCTCGCAACGTCTCTCCTCTTGGATCACGTCCTGCATTCGTGCTTGCTACGACCTGGCCAGTGCCCCGACGCCGCGCCTCACCGCCCACTCCACGAGGGCCCAAGCCTCCTCAACTGCCTTCCTGGCTCATGTCCCGATCCAGGACATTTGTAGAGCGGTGGTTTGGTCATCAGTCCACACCTTCGCCGCTCACTATGCGCTTGTACAGCAGTCCAGAGACGATGCTGCATTTGGATCAGCGGTTCTGCACTCAGCGATGTCTCACTCCGACCCCACCACTTAGGTAAGGCTTGGTAGTCACCTAATTGGAATCGATATGAGCAAGCACTCGAAGAAGAAAAAATGGTTACTCACCTTTGTAACTGTTGTTCTTTGAGATGTGTTGCTCATATCCATTCCAAACCCGCCCCCCTTCCCCACTGTCGAAGTAGTTGGCAAGAAGGAACTGAGGGGGTGTTGGGTCGGCTGGGGTATATATCCAGCGCCATGAAGGCGCCACTCCAGGGGGCTCCACAGCCGACCCACCGGGTGTTGCTAAGGTAGAAAATTCTCCGACGATCGTGCACGCAGCGCGCGCACACCTAATTGGAATGGATATGAGAAACACATCTCGAAGAACAACAGTTACAAAGGTGAGTAACTATTTTTTCCTTTGTGTGATATAAAAAAAATAGCTTTTCTTTGAGCCACTGATCCATTTGGAGTTTAGAGAATACCCTACATGCTAAATTTCCTCCTTTTCCTGTTACAACACTTTAAAATGCATCTTTGGTGTTATAGCTTTCTTTCTTGCATTATAGCGGTTTATACATAATCCTTAATGATCTTGGTTCAGGGTAAACAAACATTGCATAGAATTGAATTATTTTCCAGTTGTCTGCCTCAAATTTGCTTTTTTAAAAACAAACACCTTTTTGTTCAATTTTTCTGATATATCTGTTAACATTTTAAATGTCTAAGTCACACTTTTAGCTCCTTCATATACAGGACATACAAGTTTAAAGAATATTAGCAAAATATTCTTAATCTATATATGCACCAGATATGATAATGATTAGAAATTGGACATGGTGAACACAATGACAAATAGTCTTGGTGTTAACCCACTGGACTGGGGCTCAGGAGAGACTGGGGCTCTGTTGCAGGTGTCCTGTCTGATGATGGGCAAACTGTTTAATCTCTCTGTGCCTCAGTTCCCATTTTTTTGCTTGTATGCTATAGCCCTTTCTCCCACCCTTTGTTGTCCTTGCCTTAAAGAGCTTATCTTACTATGTGTTTGTACACTGCCTAGCACAGTGGGTATTTGGTGATTAATGTCTCGACATGCTACTGGAATTAAACAAAACAAAATCCCCACAATAGCAGGAACATAGTGCATCTGACTATCTTCTAGATGGGAACAGTGAGGCCCAGAAACAACTGGTATTCTCTCTGATATTTGTACAGCACCTCTTTACTGCACTGTACACCTGAGCGACATTAAACCTGAAAATAGTATCTGATATTCGCTCACACCTGCTGCTCTTTTAGACTGTCCCATACAATAGAATACTACCTCTTTCATTGTTTGGGACTTTGCCAAAACTATGTAAATACTTTGTTTTCTCCTTTGCCAAAACTAGCTGCATTCCTGTTCAGTATAATTCTCCTGCTGGAGGGGTATTACTTGCATTTTTTCATATTTATTGATTATAGTTATATTATGATAAGGTTTGACATTAATCAAAGTTGCACTGAAATTCTGTACTGCTTTAACTGATGAGTATGCAGATTTCATATGTTACTAATAAAGTACCATTGTATTCTTGTTTTGAATGAGACAGTGTTGTTAATTTTGGCAGGTTTTTTTTACCCTTTCTAATCTTTTCCTGTGATGACACTTTAAAAACAAGAGACATACACCTGATAATCTATTACTACAATCTACAAAAAGAAACATGTATGTGCAGTACCTAGTACTATTTTTTTTGGCTGTGTGAC